GACCCACAAATACTGTGATGTGTTCTCCTTGTTTTTATATAATTCGTTCTCTGTTTGCTTCTGCTTGGTTGGGGTTTGAGTTACCTCAGGTTAATGTGTGTTTATGTGGAAGAGATTGATTTCCTTGGGATCAAAAAGGGTGAGTGGGGTTGAGGAGAAAGCAGCTGAAAGAGGCAATGGCCTTTCAATCTTTGTCTTGCTTGCGTTAGTCAACACAGTTTCCTTCTGGGCGGGCTGCTTCTCAGTCTCAGGATGCTGGTTACCATGGTTTGAATATGCAATGGCCCCCAAGGACCCCTGTGCCACAGCTTTGGTTTTCATCCTGTAGCCATACCCTTAGTAGGCAGGGCCTAAAGGAAGGCTATTTAGTCATTGGAGGTGTGTCCTAACGAGGATATTAGGGCCCTGGCCACTTCCTGTTTTTCTCTTTCTCTTGCTTCCCAGTCAATGTGAGGCAAACTCTGCCATCTGCTCCTGCCATGATCTGCTACCTCACCACGGGGCCCCAGAAGACAGGTCTAAGGGGCTGTGGAAGTATGAGCTGAGATCCAGCCTTTCCCATTAGTTGATTGTTTTCCAACCCGGACAGCTGACTGCACTTGTGCTGAGCAGTTTCTGCTGGCACAGCCTGGGATCATCTTAGACGAGGAACTTGCATTGAGGAGCTGCCCAGATCAGATTGCCCTAGGACCGCGTCTGTGAAAAGACTGTCTTCACTGACCATTGGCACTGCAGGTCTCAGCTCGCTGTGGGCAGCACCATCCCTGTGCAGGCGAATCTGGGCTGGGTATGAGAAGTAGCTGGCTGAGGGTAAGCCATTAAAGGAACAAGTAAGCAAGCAGCATGCCTCCCTGGTTCCTGCCTCTAGTTCATTCCTTGAGTTCCTGTCTGACTTCCCTCCGCCTACTGATTATGGTCTGGATGTAGAAGCCAAATAAACCCTTTCCTCATTCACCTGAGTTGCTTTTGACCAAAGTATTTTTGTCCCAGCAAGAGCAAACTAGGGGAACACAGGAAAACAGATTCATTTGTGTGTTCTCACAAAGTTGTAGCACTGAGGAGGAGGACTTAATGAATCATAATTCATAAAATCTGGATGGCAAGAAGTTCCCTGTTCAAACGAATGTAGCCAACATTGGACAATTCCCACAACAACGCAGACATTGCGGCAAGGATACCAGTAAGGAGGTACTTACAATGCAATCAGCCTTGCCTTAGTTCTGGGGCACCTGTCAACCCCATTTACAGCCAAGAAATCTGAAGTTGGGTTAGCTGTCCTTTGTCACTAGAGGCCTCCTAAGAATCCACTGCCTTCACCTTATCAAAAACCTCCTTGTCGGAAAAAGCTTAGCTCTCTGGGAAGCCATTCAGAGCACACAGCCATGGACCTGGGTTGGGTCCGACTCCTAGTTGCTTAGTGAGGGGAGTGGTTTGGGCAGGAGAGACAGTTCCTGGATGCCAGAGAGCCCCAGAAGGTACAGACACTCCTCCCAGAAGCGCAGACACCCAGACTTGGAATAAAGTAAAACAAAGTGAAGGTCCTATCGTACCCATTATTAATCACGTTTATTATAGATTTCGACATCTCCCACAAGCATTCATGGTTTGGAAACGGAACTAGGCTGGGATACGCGAGACACTGTCTGTACTCTATTTTATCTCGGTTTCTTCCTTCGTGCGTATTCGTGCGGAGGCCGGAAGTTGACGTTTGCTGTCTCTCTCATCACTCATCACTCCAGAGAGACTGGCTGGCCAGCGAGCTCCAGGAATCTGCCTGTTTCCACCATTCATCTAGTGCTGGAGTTACAGGCACATGCTGCCAGCGAGAGCTTTTTTTAAACACATGTACCGAGGAGCCAGCTCAGGGCCTCGTGCCCATGCAGCGAGCATTTAAGTGACTAAGCCATTCCTCCAGTCTCCATGCTTCGTAAAAATATTTATTTATTTACTCATTTATATGTGTATAAGTGCTTTGCCCGCATATATATATGTGTGTGCCACACGTGTGCAATGGCCACAGGCACCAGACACGGGTGTCGGATCCCCCTGGAACTGGAGCTAGAGACAGTTGTGAACTGTCATGTTGGTGCTGGGCTGGTGTTGGTCTGGAGATACTGCCCCCATGATGCCTATTTCTATTAAATGTGTATCACACAAACAAGCCTTCCGCATCGTCCCGGATCACATGACACACCTGCCAGGGAGCCAAGCCTCAGACAGTGCCAGCACCACCAACCCGAATACAAAAACAATGAAATTAGCGGGAAAGTGTAGGCTGCAGCCACTCCATCAGCCAGGAAGAAATGAGGGCGGCGCGCTGACTTCTGGGGAAAAGCGTCTGTTAGGAAAACTGGGAAAATTAGGAACAGACACGTATACAGCACTTTACAGTTTATCCAGTGTTATCTTGCTTGAGTCTCTCAAGTGCTGGGAAGTGGAAAAGAGGGGGGGGGAGGATGTTACAGGAAAGGAAATTAAAGTTCAGAGCTCCAGTGTCCGACCCTGGATCACACAGCTGGGTTGGAGGCAGAGATGGGGGAGGGAGGCTGGGCTCTCACCAACCACAATGCTCAGGAAGTTCCCAAACACCTGGTGAACCACTGTGAAGAGTAATGCATGTCCATCCCCTCTGCCCCTCTCCTTTAATCTCTAGGGCCAGGTCCCTGTGGCCAAGGCCATGACTTTGGTTCCTAGTAGACTTGGCCAGAAGGGACAGTTCCACTATTTTATCACCCCATAAAGCACTAATGACCTTAACTACGGCAGGTGACATGGAGCCACTATGGGACACAGGCATATTCTTGGGTGAACAAATGTGACAGGGAAATTTAAGAGAACTTCTCCTACATCCTGCACCAGCCATTCCACTCCCACAGTCTGCCTCTGGTTCCTCCAAGACAGTGATGTCTGGGGCAAGTCCCCACCTGCCTCTGTTTACTCACCTGTAAAATGGGAACTCGAGCATCTCAGCTTCTCCCTGCCTGCTGACTGACAAGCTGAGGGGCGTGGAGGAAGAGCCTTCCAGTCAGGACAAGCCCAGAGCCAAGTTCATTGCCCACCCTCTCCGCTCATTGGGAACCGCCTACTGCAGGGAAGGTCTATAGCTGAGTGTTCTACTCTGGCTTCAGGATCACGTGGGAATCAGCAAGAAGAGTCAAGGGTGAGCTGGTCTGTCTGTGGCATCACCACAGGCTCTAAGGCTCTGCGGATGCCACAGGTCAGGAGGGAGTCTTGGTGCATGAGTTGAGGCTGTCTGCATCGTCTACCCTGTGGCTGGCAGTGACAACCAGCCACCTTTAGCAGAGTGCTTCTTCCCAGTCCCATTTGCCTCCTCCATCAGTCCAGCAACTATTTAACAACGCCAATGTTCTCTGTGCATTTTAAGAGCTTGTATTTCCTTAAAGACCTGATGAACTAATAACCCAGGCAGGATCTCAGGTAAACTTATGGGATGAGAATTCTGATAGGCTTGTGACTACTGCCAGCCTTTGGTCCTTGGCCACTGCACAGGGCAGGGGCTTTCACTGTTTCAAAAACACTCACATGATGGGACTTAGCGTCCAGGGTAGGAGACATCCCAGATGTTGTTTTTGTTTTTTTTTTTTTTTTTTTTTTTTTTTTTTTTTTTTTTTTTTACCAAGGTGAGAATCATGGAACCAGCCACACAGGCAAAGAGCCCAGCAAGTGGCAGAGTCTCAGATGTCTGTCAATCTTCACTCATTTGGGGACCCACAGTCCCCCTTCTCCAGTCTTGCCTGCATACTCAGCCTATACAACAGAGGACCTTCCCACTGTCGGAGAGAGAGAGCAGAGCTCAAACTGGGCCTCTCCAGTTTATTAAAGACTCACAGCTTATTCCGCTATCCAGAAGGACGCCTAGGGACACTACCGTGGGGAAGAACGTGGAGAACAGACTGGACACTGAGGACCTAGAGCAGAGGGAGCTCTTCACTGACTCTCGTGGGATTTCTCACAGAAAGAGACGATGGCTGAGCCTCTCTGAGAATGAAAGCGCCTCTCCTGTGATGGGTTCAGATGGGACTTAAGACTATTTTTCCTAAAAGACAAAATAAAAGAAGTTGGACAAGCCTTTATCCCTACCCCTTCTTGGCAGTTCTGGGCAACACAAACATTAAGAGTTTTGAGTCTGAAAGCAAACAGCTGCAAAGATCTCATTATGCCTTTTGTGTTTGGGGGATTTTTTTTTCACCATTTTAAAAACAAGAGATGTAATTTATGCGTTTCAAATATTAAATAATTGCCTTCCTTGGGCTGGGCCTGAGGATGGTGTGTGCTTATGAAGATTAGAGGACCAGCAGCCGCAAGGCTCCCAAGTGCTGCGCAGAAGAGCTGTCGCCTCGTTTTTTGCCTTCTGTCATGGGTGTGAAGGAAGTTCCCGGCCAGTCCGGCTCAGACTGGAACTCCAGCGGTCCTAGCTGGGACAGAATGGAGCGCGGAAGTCTGGCTACTGAACCCCAAGCCGAGGCAGCGATGGGTGATGGCCACGTAATGCCCAGATTCCGAACGCAGCATAGGGGCCCCAGAGCAAGCGCGCTCACTTCAGCCAAAGTTGGGCAAGTGCAGCGAGCGACTGCTGCGGTCGGGGACCACAGGTGCCTCGGACAAAGTCTCCCGATTGCCCAGAGAGGGGCCAGTTAAGGCGATCGCGGCGCGCCAGCTCCCTGCCCTTACTGATGTCCGAGTCCTGCGAATTCTCGGCCCTGAAGTCCCTCTCCGAGCTCGCATAAGGGCAGCCTCCAGGGCTACAGAAGCCCGCCGCGTGGCCGCCCGGCGACGCGCAGAGCTCACTCCCGCCGCAGCCTTGGTGGACCGCGACCGTCGGCTCCCGCAGGGGCAGGGACAGCAGGAGGGGTGGCTACCGCGGCTGGGTCCCCTCCTCCCCTCCCGCGCCCGCCCTCCCTTCCTCTGTCCTGCAGCCAATTAGGCGGCCCCCTTGGGCGGGAGGCGTGGGGCCTCTACATAAAGGGAGCTGTCACCCGGAGCAAGCCGCTCACCGCCCAAGCAGAGCTTCGGGGACTCGGACGCCTTGGGTCTGATAACGCAGACCAGCCATGGCCACCACCAACGGGGCTGTGGAAAACGGACAGCCGGATGGGAAACCGCCTGCCCTGCCGCGCCCCATCCGCAACTTGGAGGTTAAATTCACCAAGGTGAGGAGAGCTCCCTTTCGACCCGATGGCCTCGGACTCCCGCGCCTAGCAGTCTGGTAGGGAGAACGGGACCAGGAGCCAACCCTGCTGGGAGTCAAGAGGGAGCTGCCCACACCTGAGAGTCTCTGGTGGGGTCCGGCTCCTCGGAAACCTCACTTTTGGGGGGCACCCAGAGTGGCAACCCGCGCCTCTGGCTCGGCGAGCTAAGCCTCAAAACCTGAGGAGCAAGGGTTCAACTCCGCAACCCACAAGCTGCGGAGTTGTAGCCTGCAGAGGCCCCATGTGCCGGGGGCCGTAGCCCACTTTGAGTGTTGTTGCTTGCAACAGTGACTGGGCGCGCGGTGAATTCTTGGCAGAGGGGTTTCTGGTCTGAAGGACACGGGCTGTGGGATGAGTATAGGTACCCGAGGACTCCAAGACGAGTTAAGCTTCAACTATGAGATACCCTGGGAACTGCAAGTGGGAAGTAGGTCTTCTTAGGTAGTGAAAGAAGGATCTGGTGCCTTCCCGTGTGCTCAGCCTGTACCCAGTAGAACTGAGGCGGGAACATGGAGATTAGTGATGAACGCTCAAGGACTGGGACTAGAGAAACTGAGCTGCGGGTTGAACACAGCCGCAGACGGAGCCCAGGAGTAGTGGCGTTTGCCCTTTGCTGGGAGGCTGGAAGGGGCAGAGTACTGAGATACCTGCTCTGAGCTACGGGGACAGTGGTGTCCTGGAGGAAGAACAGCGGTAAACTCTGGGATGCAATGCGCGGCTCTGTGCCTGCTGGATGTGGGGCGTCTGAGGGTCTCAGACCCAGGGCAGCTTTTGGCTCCAGGTCTGGAAACTTCAGCCCATCTTATTTGCACATCTTATCCGTAGCTCCCAACTCCAGCTGTCACAATCTTAGAAACCACCCTCATCAATTTTATTTTCAAACTTAGCAATTATCCCTCCGGAATAATTTTAATCAAAAGGCGAAAGTGGCAGGCCGCTCTGTGTGGCCTTCAGATTCGGATCTGTTGGCACTTAGTCCCCAAAGTTGGCCATGCCGACGTATTAATTGCGAGACATTTGCATGAACTGTTTTTCCAAGGAAGGCTCTGTAATCAAGAGAGGCACAACCCTAGGAGGACTGGAAGTTTTGTAAATGTAGCTTCCTCAGTCGGCTCCGCATTAGCAGGAGAATTCCAACAGCAGCACCAGGAATGGGAGGAATAGTGACTATGGTGAGGTCCTTGTGCTGGTGCTGGCTGTTCTGTTTTGTTTGTACAGTTCTGTAAAAAACACCACAGCAACCAGAAAGTGTACAGAATTGTCCCACAACTATCTGGCTCCACGGCAGGAAAAGTTTGCCTCTTGCGGGCAAATCCCCAGAACACGTTAAAGGTGCCCTTGCAGCCTTTATGAAGATAATCCTGAGAGGTTTTTGTTTGTTTGTTTGTTTTTTGGGTTTTTTTTTTCATTTTTAAAACTGAGATTTACTGCTGTTCTAACAGAGCCCTCCTTGCCTTTGCGGGTTGAAAGTGCGGTGTGTCTGATGGGGGCCGCAGCACCCTGGTGAGATAGGATGCAGGCATCTGAGACCTGGGATCCTTGGGAGATTCCAGGAGATGCTTCTCTAACTGCCTTCAATCCCTTATTGGTTTTGCCTGCTCCCGCCTTGCTCCTTGTGCACCTCTGCAGAGCCCTCTTAGAACAATTAAAAGGCCACGGTGAGCCTTGTACCATCAGGGTGCCCTGGGCTAAGGAAGGGAGCCACAGATGCGCAGTGCAGAACCCAGGCCGGACAAACAGTGGCCTGAGAAGCATGGGAACCAGCAAGGGTGTGCGCTTTTCCTAACTCACTGTGCTTCTCCAACATGGAGGACCGGTTTGAGCTCAGGCCACGGCAGGGCGATCTACCAGTGTTCAGAAGGATGACTTTATCAAAACTCCTTCATTTGTTCTCAGGTTTTTACACTGGGCACGAGGTCATGTGAATGGATTCTGATGAGGAGAGGGAGGGGTCCTCTGGAGAGTCTCTGTACTCACGGTAGAGGATGGCAGCTCCTTCCGTTTTAGGGGCTCGCTTCCTTTAATAAATTTCTTCCAGGAGCAGCGGTTCTCTTTCAAGCATTTTAATCCTTCAAAAACCCAAAATGTTACCATCTCTTCCATGAAAATAAAATTCCCCCAAATCTCCCGAAAATGTAGACATCTTGAATTTAACCAAGTCCAATGGAAGCTGATGGAAATAATGCCAGCAGGCTTCTATTTTGTGATCGTCACCTTGACCTCTATCCAGCCCGCCTTCCAGGTCTGTCTGTAAAACCTGAATTCTATTTACATCTCAAAGCATCTTTAACCTTATATCTCAGTAATGTCCTGTCCCTGCCGGTTCGCGAATCGATGAAGACAGTTCCTCCCTAGACCTGTCAGCTAGTAAGTTATGATTCACAACAACTCATCCAGCACTAGTGGTAGGCCCCGCCCGGGGACTGTTTCTTCATTCGTGTTTATTCGCTGCTTTAGTGGAAAGAAACCTAGCAGTGGGGAATCACTTACAAGGTCAGAAACGAACAAGTAGGATAATGGAAACAGCTCTGCTCAGTGAGAAACACTGGGATGGAGAAATACGGTCCATGATGGAGTTTTTACTTGAGGTTGTTGGTCTGCAAGGTCTAAGGATCAATGTCACGGGACAATCAGGTAATATATACATATACGTATACATATGTATGTATTCTTTTTGAAGAGTCTATCTGGAGGTAAGGTGTATGCGGCAGACATCCGATAGCTGCAATCTGCCTTTACTCCCTGCTCTTCAGGCTCTGTTTTTACCACCTTCTCATTTTCCCTCCCTCTTGGAATCGACACCAGGAAGGACCTAGAATCAGCAATTTTCACTGACAGTCCCTATTATCTAAGCGACGAAATTTCATCTTCCTTCAAATGGGCCTGCTCCTGGCTTCACTTTCCTCTCGGCACTAACCCCTTCCCTGCTTATTAATTTCTCGCTGCTGCCGAGGAATTACTTGCTGCATGGCAAAAGTGAACTCTTGGATTTGGTTTCAGCTGGAAGAATAAACCTGTAATTGTAGCCAGGCCTTTTCCTCGCTTGCTTCCCTGGGGGCCTGGCCTCACATGGAAGGCGCTGAGCTTCCAGAAGTTGGATGGCTATGCCCTACTAGAACTTCATGCTCCCAGCTCCAAACTCCATACTGAGGGTCTGGAGTAGCCTCTGCTCACCTGCCTGGCCAAAGCCTGCCTGGTGTTTGAGGTTTCCTCCAGAGGTAGCCTGACTTGGTTTCCTTCTGCTTTAAAACCTATATGAGTCTGAAGCCATGGCAGCCAAGTCACACGCTCAGGGCATGACTGCTCTCATGTCTGCTATCGGCAGGGGATGGTCCTGTACTAAATGAATTGTCTTCCATCACTGAAATTAGACCCACAGTAAAAAAAAAAAATATTATTATCATTTTTCTAACTTGCGTAGTTATGGAATCTGTTTCAGGCTGTAGAACTGAGGCAGGCCCATGGCAGGCTTTTCTGTGGGTGAGCTACGTGAAAGAAGGTCCAGAAAGTACAGAAACTGGCTGTTTCTATGCCGTCAGAACCTGCTTTGTGTGTTATGGGTCCCCTCCGTTTCTGGTTCTTTCCAAAAGCCACATTTTTTTTTTAAAAAAAAATTTATTTCATGTGCATTGGTGTTTTACCTGCACGTATGTCTGTGTAAAAGTACAGATCCCCTAGAAATGGCATTACAGACAGTTGTGAGCTGCCACGTGGGTGCTGGGAATTGAAACCAAGTCCTCTGGAAGAGCAGCCACTGCTCTTTCCCACTGTGTCGTCCGTCTCTCCAGCCCCCAAAAGCTACAACTTCTAATACCATCTTTTAAAGGTGATTAGAGCTTAGGAAAAAGTCAGAGTAAGTAGCATGGGTCTCAGTGCACCGATCTGATAAATTCTTTTTAAATATTGTCTTTTCAGCTATGTTTTGGGTAATGGAGGCTTCTATAAAATAATGTTTTGTGAGCTACTTATTTCTGAATATAAATGGTAGTTTACTTAACATGATCTAAAAGGTTTTTAACCCAGATATTTAACTCTGTGGCCCAACGCCGGCTTTGTAAAAGGCTCCAGGAAGTAAGCATTGTAAAGAGGAGGTAGAGACCATGCACACTTCGTGGCTTAAAGAAGCCCAAGGAGTTATGGGAAGATCTCGAATAAACCTAGGTTTCTGGGGATCCTGTTTGGAAGGAGGAAGGGGTGTGCATAGCTTACAGCCTTGCGGGACGTGGTCGATTGTACGTGCACAAGCCTGCCCACCCTTCCGTCGAAGCCCTACCACTATGCGAACTTCAACGTGCACATCCTTGTAACCATTTGATTCAGCTATTCCTCGACAAATCCATGCTATTGCTACAAATGAAGATATAATTTAGAAAAATAACTCTAGAGGATTTTAGATTAATTATGTCAAATTGGTTCGAACTGTGAGGCCATTCCCCATCGGATGCTTGGGGGGGGGGTTCTGTGTTTTGTTTCCCCCACTCCAGGTCTCCTCTATGAAGCATCTAGGGGCGGGAGTGGGGGAGAAAGTAGACAAGACGTTACCTAAGGTCCTTAGCATGTCGAAATTGTATGATTTTGATCTAAACCAAATTTGTTGCACTTCCTCTCCCGGTTAGATATTTATCAACAACGGCTGGCACGAGTCCAAGAGCGGGAAGAAGTTCGCCACGTACAACCCCTCGACCCTCGAGAAAATATGCGAGGTGGAGGAAGGAGATAAGGTGGGTCCCGAGTAATTCCATTAGAGGGGAGTCAAGGCTGAGGAAGCTGTGTGGGTTGGCTGTAAACCACGCGGGCCCACCTCCAGGTAGGGCCAGGGGAGCTGCGGCAACGGGTCGGTATGCGCAGCTCAGACGCGATCCTAGCGTGGGATCAATTACAGATGGTCCTCTGCGAAGACTCACCGTCTTTGATGGATGTTTCTCCATCTCTGAGGATGACCTCAGCTGTCTTCATCACACAGCTAAAGGGAAGGTTTTTATCAATTATTTCAACCTGTAAGCATTAAAGAAGCGTTTGAGAAGGCATTTCCTGCTGGGGTGTTTCACCAAAAGTAGCTTTCTGGCAGGAGACACTTAAAAAAAAAAAAGAAAAGAAACCATGAAGGATGGGGAGGATGCCCCCAAATGATCCCGGGGGGGGGGTAGTAATATGTCACATGACTGCTTGATTTCTTTGCTAGTGGAAACCCACATGCCCATGTGAGACCTTGTGCCTAGTGTAAGGTCTCCTTTATCACACAGACATGAAGGAACTTCTGCATGTATCTTTTTTACTTTTCAAGGCCATAAAATGTGTTTTAAATAGAAGGGCCTCTAAATAAAAGATGATTAGGATAACAACCTCCTACAGAGGGAAGAAAAACATGATCCCCTGCTTAACCTCTGGAGTACTGGATGGATTGCCTGCCTGTCTGCCTGCTTTTCTTTCTTTCTCCCTCCCTTCCTCCCCTCCTTTCCTTACCTTCCCCTTCTCTCTCTCTCTCTCTCTCTCTCTCTCTCTCTCTTTTTTTTTTTTTTTTTTTTTTTTTTT